CCCTCAAGGAATAATTAACTGGTAAATCTAAACACAGAAAGAACAATTAACTGTAGATTATTCAGAGATTCAAACATGGCAAAACATTTATTCCTTTGTAGTGCTTATAATGATAGTTGTTGTGTGAAGTAAACAATCATAGGCTTTGCGATACTTTCTTCTATGTGTATACATATTTAAATGGCAAGTTTGATTGTTTTTGCTCAGTGACATATTATTGTGGTCTGTGACTAAATGCAACATAAACATTTTCAGTGACGAGAAGTTTGATGTCTGGTTTAAATAATGAATGTTCTATCTTGCAACATTCAAAATCTGTAAGTCAGACTGTGCATTTGCCATACTGGAATACTTTTCCTTGTGTGTAGTTCAGAACAGGTTTTGTGACTATATGTTACACCAATTAGTTGTGTCGCTGGATGTTTGTAAGTGTTCACTAGTCATGCGTTTATCCCCCCCCCCTATTGTCTCACCAGTCACCATCAGTGAGTGAAATAGTTTCCAAAATTTTCAATCCAGACAGGCTAGCTATGTCTGAAAGTTACTAGCCCACAAAAGTATTCACTTGCCCGAAATTTGAATGTAGACACGGGTTTCATCATTAAGCTGCTAATATGATGAACATTTTTATCAGGCCATAATCTTGCATGATTTAAAAGTGTATTATAACTTAACAAGTCGGAGAGAGTGATATACATGTATTTACAAAGTGAAAATTGAAAATACACTAGCCGGTCGGGCCAGTGACTGTGGAGATTTACTGTCCCGACTGGATTTTTACTAGCCACGGGCTAGCGGGCCAGTGGCTATTTCGAACACTGATCACCATGCATGGTTGAAACTGTCTGTCATACAGTAGATACAGGGCAAGTGGGAATACCATACTGCCTTTATGACACAATTACACTCAACTGGACACAATTACACTCAACTGGACATAATTACACTCACCTGGACACAATTACACTCAACTGGACACAATTACACTCACCTGGACACAATTACACTCAACTGGACACTCAACTGGACACAATTACACTCAATTACACTCAACTGGACACAATTACACTCAACTGGACAGAATTACGCGCACCTGGACACAATTACACTCAACTGGACACTCAACTGGACACAATTACACTCAACTGGACACTCAACTGGACACAATTACACTCAACTGGACACAATTACACTCACCTGGACACAATTACACTCAACTGGACACAATTACACTCAACTGGACATAATTACACTCAACTGGACACAAATACACTCACCTTGACACAATTACACTCAACTGGACACAATTACACTCACCTGGACACAATTACACTCAACTGGACACAATTACACTCACCTGGACACAATTACACTCAACTGGACACACTTACCCTCACCAGGACACAATTACACTCAACTGGACACTCAACTGGACATGGACACAATTACACTCAACTGGACACAATTACACTCAACTGGACACAATTACACTCAACTGGACACAATTACACCCAACTGGACACAATTACACTCAACTGGACACAATTACACTCAACTGGACACAATTACACTCAACTGGACACAATTACACTCAACTGGACACAATTACACTCAACTGGACACAATTACACTCAACTGGACACTCAACTGGACACACTCAACTGGACACAATTACACTCAACTGGACACTCACCTGGACACAATTACACTCAAGTGGACACAATTACACTCAACTGGACACAATTACACTCAACTGGACACTCACCTGGACACAATTACACTCAAGTGGACACAATTACACTCAACTGGACACTCAACTGGACACAATTACACTCACCTGGACACAATTACACTCAAGTGGACACAAGTACACTCAACTGGACACAATTACACTCAACTGGACACAATTACACTCAACTGGACACAATTACACTCAACTGGACACTCAACTGGACACAATTACACTCAACTGGACACAATTACACTCAACTGGACATTCAACTGGACACAATTACACTCACCTGGACACAATTACACTCAACTGGACACAATTACACTCAACTGAACACTCAACTGGACACAATTACGCTCACCTGGACACAATTACACTCAAGTGGACACAAGTACACTCAACTGGACACAATTACACTCAACTGGACACAATTACACTCAACTTGACACTCAACTGGACACAATTACGCTCACCTGGACACAATTACATTCAAGTGGACACAAGTACACTCAACTGGTCACAATTACACTCAAGTGGACACAATTACACTCAACTGGACACTCAACCTGACACAATTACACTCAACTGGACACAATTACACTCAAGTGGACACAATTACACTCAAGTGGACAGTATGAGAGATTTATGAACAAAGGCAAGGCCAACTTGTTTATACATATTGTTCATGCCTTAATTTAAATATTCATTTACACCTGGTACTTCCACACATATATGATTGTACTAAGATCTAGGATCTACAAGGTCCACAAAAGGATTTCTTAATTAACAGAATCAATAAATCTACTAATCTGATTATATCTTCATTCATTCATACGACATTATGTGATACTAAATTCTGTTTGGCTGAGAGCTCATCAAAACCATACTTCAGTGGCAGTTTAAGGACCACTAATTAAAGTGACCGATTGACTGTGCATGAATACAATAACCTTGCTGACCCTTTTGTTTCTAAACAAACATGTCGGACATCAGTGATTTCTACTTTGGCAGCATGAAAGTACATGTGCAGTTTAAATCCAGAAAATAAAGCCCTTTTTCAGCAGCCTTGAAAGAATGATGAAGTGTGGGACACAAGTAAACCCCTCGGCTAACATGTTCAGTTTTTAAAATACATTTAGCGGTCTTAAATCAATAATAAAGGACCACAAAATTGAAAACAGAGTAGCTTTATCTTCAAAGTTTACTGGGTTTAGGAAAGATATGTGTCCTTACCATTTCTGCTTTATTTCTGTGGCCATTTTTAGAAATGTTTTTAGTTTTCAGCAGAATAAGTGAAAAATAATATGTAAATTAATTTCACTTATTTCCCACTTTTCTTAACTTAATGTGACAGTGAGGTGTTTATGGTTTTGTTGACTGAAAATGAGAGGGTTTAAATCCCACAAGAAATTACTACATAGGTCTTCATAGAACTTACCAATCATCCAAACTACAAGTTTAATAATATATGTTTGGTGACACAACAATATTTACCAGTACTGTAGGTATATTTAGAGTGAAGAACTGGGGTGCTGATCATTCATCAAGTGGCCCTTACTGTCCGAAAGGGTATGAATTTTCCCTTGAAAGCTTAACATGGTTTGTTTACAAGATCATTTACATGCTTATTCCATTTCTTTTTAACAGGCAGTGGTGGGGTAGCCTAGTGGTTAAAACATTGGCTCGTCACGTTGAAGACCCGGGTTCGAATCCCCACATGGGTACAATGTGTGAAGTCCGTTTCTGGTGTCCGCCGCCGTGATGTTGCTGGAATATTGCTACAAGCAGCGTAAAACTAAACTCACTCACTCACTCTAACAGTCCGTGGATATAATGAATATGATCAGAACCTGATGCGATGTTTCACCTTGGATTCTTGTATTGTTGTCAAGCAAGTATTATTATTATTGTACTTGCTTGACAACGATACAAGAATCTGTATCGATGTGTCGTATCACCTGAACAAAGTTGTTCATCCATGAAGTTTGTCGTTATCAAACATGCTTGTACATCTCTAGCTGATGAATTACATCTGATCGTGTATACTATTGGCCTTTTGGTATGCTATTAGCCTATAGCCATATGTGCCTTTCTTGAACTTTGCATCTCAAACAGTCAGATTGTCTGTCTATATCTGATTTTATGTATCACTGGCGTACAACGTTGAAGTTTACATTCTCTGTCAAACATTGTGCCAATCTTGAAGCGGATTGTACCAGCCGGAGATAGAGTATATCTGGTTTTATACAGCAGTTTTATATAATACTGTATATCTGTACAGCCATAGAATTACTTCATTACACATTTCAATGTCCATCTCCTTGAACTTTGTTATGAAGCTTGTACAACAAGCTGATGCCTGTTCGTCCTTATCCCACCATCACATCAGGTTTTGGTAATGATTCTAATGATCAAGGCATAGATTCTACACAATAGCATGTTTTAAATCAAACCAGTAATTTAAATGTAGAGATTAAATAATCTCCACACATTCAATTAATGTTTGGGTTTAAAGTATGCTCACTTGCATGTGAGTTGTAATGACTAGGCAACAAGTGTTTGATCTTACAATGATGCATGAATTCTTACAGAAGTCCAAGTGCTCTTGCAGTGTTCACGTATGGTGTTTCAAAGTAACAGGACAGTGGGTCCTGTAAGTTTCAGGTGTCTGTCTGACCCATTGAAAATTCACAGGACCCATAGAATAAAATTAAACACACATTTCAGGTTTAACATTTGTTATAATTGGCATTAAATTATTAACAAGTATAAGATTTAGAAACAGCAAACAAGTGTCACATGTCACATATAACAACTTCGGTCAAAGTTGTTGTGAAATATACAGTCAAACACTGGGGCCAGTGGGTTGTAGACTTCTATCAGACCTTCTATCAGACCTTTTTCGAATCTGCCAGATTTGTCAGAGGGTCAGACGCTATTCGTGAACACTGCTCTTGTCTCATCACTGTCGTCATATGATTTGATTTCTGACCCAGCAGCTAATGATATTGAAATAAAAAGTTGAACACGGGTCTTGTGTTCATTGTCATTGAATTAAGAAGAGTGCACCTGGAAACATTTTCCTTGTGTTTTGACCTTTTCAATGTTTAATAAAGTATGGCAACTGACCATACTGGTCCAGCTCAAATTGACCACAGTATGGACCCAAATGGTTATGAAAATTGATAAAAATATCAAATCATTAACCCACAAAATGTATACGGTTGAATTGCTGGCTTTGAAAATTTGTTGATGAGCTACACAAGAATCAAAATGGACAAGAAATGTGACAAAATCTAACGTGTACCCACACAGGTTGTAGTGATTGTTGCATATGGGCCACAGTGATTTGCTCTTTGTTACCTGTCAGCTTACCTGCTCAGGTAGAGTCACCTGACTTGACTGTCACTATCCCCTGTTTACCTGACACAGACAGGGGGCGGCCGGCGAGTGTTGTGGTAGGAGTGTTTTACAAGTTCTGTTGGGTTGAGTGTTGACAAATTGTATCATATCAGTGTATTAACTTTTTGATGTATTTTAATCTCATGAAGAAGATATGATAACGCATAGAAACATAATGCTAGTTTGCAAATTTGATCAAAGTCAGTAGTGTAGCTCTACAGTGGTTGGGCTATTGTGAACTTAAAGGTCCATGTCCGACATCTCCAGACACCTCCAGACACCTCAGACCAACTTGACAGGAGACTTATATGTAGTATACACAGATGGCATGCACCCTATAATGCCACTGTGAAAACATTTTGTTCCGTGGAAATGTTGAGATACCCCTGTTAACCTGTATTTTGGCCAGGCATTAGGGCTGTTCACAGTGCTGCACTAGTGGCCAGACCTGTCTGTTGAGCCTGTTTGTGGCAATCTGAGTTATATCAGATATCATCTTTTTGTTTTCAAAAATCAGTATTTTTCATAAGCTTTCAAAACTGGTTTTCATAAAGTTTGGCATATTGACACCTACTTTGAATTCCACTGGATAAAAGGTTCCTATTGGAGGTTGCTAATGTCCCTTATATCTGACAGTGGGCTTGTGTAGTGTGTTACTCACTGGTAACTGTATCTTGACATGTACCTGGGGATGCCGGCATAATGCCCGGACACATCCGGATATCTGGGGTCCAGGCACCCGGGGTCTCACTGTATTTACATTAAGTCTGTTACTTTTTGTATTACTTACAACTCAACATGAACTGAAAAATTACCCTGAAACAATTTCATTCAGTTTGTCATCATCATCACCATCACCATTGCATGGTTGGACTGTGTATAAGCCCCTGTGTGTAGGCCCCTTAACATATATGCTATCGTTCTGAAAATCTCAAAACTGGGTGGCATATTCATGGATTTTATTTTCATTTTTATACAATTTATAGTATCACAGTATGCCATTTTGTCATTGAATAACGAAGGAGAACATTTGTTGTGAATGAAAGTATGTGTAGATTTTAATTTATACCATGAAGATAATCATAAAACTTCATGTATGTTCTTTACCCAATATACCGGTTCTCAGAAAATATATTGCAATGCGTATTGTTTGAAAAGTGTATTGCGATACTGGTATACCGGTAATACCGTGCCGTGCCATCCTATTTCATCGCATCCAGTTATAGCCAAACCAAGACTATCAGCACTGTATATACAAGGATGCATGGGTCTCCAGAAGACATACTTTGATCAAGTGTGAGGTTTCGTTCTGTATCACTGGAGTACACAGTTTTGTTCATTGAATGAGTTCCTGTGGAGCACTAAGGTCTTTTCTTTCATCACTTCCTTCACCATTTAATTATCGATAATGTAATACCAGGAGAAAAGTAAAAACTGATTGTTGACTCGCTACTTTAACATGCTACTGACCACGATTTGGCTACATGAATACACAATGCCATATAGAAAGTGGTACATGCCTGAGTGGTAAGACAGCTGACTTTGTGTGCTGGGTGCCGTTCCACTAACCGATCTTAGCCCTTTGCCAATCGTAAGCCCCTAAAATCCCAATCTTAGCGTGACGTTACAATCGGCATACTGTTCCACTAACCAATCTTACCTAAGTCAATCGTTAAGTTAAGATTCAAAGTCTAAGTTGCTCATGACCAACTTAGGATAGCTAAAATCAATCGTAGAAAAACCAAAATGGTGGCTTTCCTATTCTATGTGAAAAATGAAAGCGAGCATTTCACCGTGAGCGTCCCCTAAAATCCCCCATGGAATGAATTTGTATATTTCTGTGATGTAAACAAATCACTGAAGCCTTACAAATGTCAGGCCAGTCTGACCACTGTCGTCATGGGAACACAACCAAGGGAGTCAGTGTAACACATTTGTACAACAATATTGCAACATCAGGTGGGGTAGCCGTCATGGTTCATGCGAAGAAGGTTCGAATCCCCACATGGGACAGCCATCTCTGAAGTGAACAATGTTCTGAAACAGTCAAAGATACAAAGTGAACATTCTGAAACAAAAGATTTGTTTGATTTCATGTGGGCTTATTTGGTGGGGGATTCTAAAGGCAGGCCGCCTGTTATTCAAGACCACTGACAGATTCTAGATACATTATAGAGGAAGCCTCGTCATTGCCTTGTTTATTCTGATTGACAAGGTTCAGGTACATAATAAAGCTTTGACACAATTGACATTTTTTAAGTCCAGACTTAAAACCTGTTCTCAGTATATTACTTATAATCTCGGCTGTAAATACTCTCGTGTAAATTATCTGTACATAGTGCTTTGAGGCATGCCCCAGGATGTGGAATAGGCACTATAAATATGCATTTATTATTATTATATTATGCCTGATACCCAGCTTTCACACACACTTGCACCTGAAACCAAGGTGCTCACTACCCTAATATTTTGCTCTAGGTTTTTTCTCCATGTTTACACTTGGTTGGAAAAATACCCATGAAGGCCCGGATTAGAATATTGAACTTCAATAACCCATGCTTGTCGTAAGAGGCCACTAACGGGATCAGGTGGTCAGGCTCGCTGACTTGGTTGACACATGTCATCGGTTCCCAACTGCGCAGATCGATCCTCATGCTGTTGCTCACTGGATTGTCTGGTCCAGAATCGATTATTAATAGCTAAGATACATAGCGTTCACTAACATGAACGGGGGATGGATCTAACCATCCCATATCCCCATGTACAGTCTGAGCTGGGGATCTAACCATCCCATATCCCCATGTACAGTCTGAGCTGGGGATCTAACCATCCCATATCCCCATGTACAGTCTGAACTGGGGATCTATCCATCCCATATCCCCATGTACAGTCTGAGCTGGAGATCTAACCATCCCATATCCCCATGTACAGCCTGAGCTGGGGATCTAACCATCCAATATCCCCATGTACAGTCTGAGCTGGGGATCTAACCATCCAATATCCCCATGTACAGTCTGAGCTGGGGATCTAACCATCCCATATCCCCATGTACAGTCTGAGCTGGGGATCTAACCATCCCATATCCCCATGTACAGTCTGAGCTGGGGATCTAACCATCCCATATCCCCATGTACAGTCTGAGCTGGGGATCTAACCATCCCATATCCCCATGTACAGTCTGGGCTGGGGATCTAACCATCCCATATCCCCATGTACAGTCTGGGCTGGGGATCTAACCATCCCATATCCCCATGTACAGTCTGGGCTGGGGATCTAACCATCCCATATCCCCATGTACCAGTCTGGGCTGGGGATCTAACCATCCCATATCCCCATGTACAGTCTGAACTGGGGATCTAACCATCCCATATCCCCATGTACAGTCTGAGCTGGGGATCTAACCATCCCATATCCCCATGTACAGTCTGAGCTGGGGATCTAACCATCTCATATCCCCATGTACAGTCTGAGCTGGGGATCTAACCATCCCATATCCCCATGTACAGTCTTAGCTGGGGATCTAACCATCCCGTATCCCCATGTACAGTCTGAGCTGGGGATCTAACCATCCCATATCCCCATGTACAGTCTGAGCTGGGGATCTAACCATCCCATATCCCCATGTACAGTTCTGGGCTGGGGATCTAACCATCCCATATCCCCATGTACAGTCTGAGCTGGGGATCTAACCATCCAATATCCCCATGTACAGTCTGAGCTGGGGATCTAACCATCCAATATCCCCATGTACAGTCTGGAGCTGGGGATCTAACCATCCCATATCCCATGTACAGTCTGAACTGGGGATCTAACCATCCCATATCCCCATGTACAGTCTGAGGCTGGGGGATCTAACCATCCAGTATCCCCATGTACAGTCTGAGATGTGGGATCTAACCATCCCATATCCCCATGTACAGTCTGAACTGGGGATCTAACCATCCCATATCCCCATGTACAGTCTGAGCTGGGGATCTAACCATCCATATCCCCATGTACAGTCTGAGCTGGGGATCTAACCATCCCATATCCCCATGTACAGTCTGGGCTGGGGATCTAACCATCCCATATCCCCATGTACAGTCTGAGCTGGGGATCTACAGTCTGGGCTGGGGATCTAACCATCCATATCCCCATGTACAGTCTGAGCTGGGGATCTAACCATCTCATATCCCCATGTACAGTCTGAGCTGGGGATCTAACCATCCATATCCCCATGTACAGTCTGAGCTGGGGATCTAACCATCCCATATCCCCATGTACAGTCTGAGCTGGGGATCTAACCATCCCATATCCCCATGTACAGTCTGAGCTGGGGATCTAACCATCCCATATCCCCATGTACAGTCTGGAGCTGGGGATCTAACCATCCCATATCCCCATGTACAGTCTGAGCTGGGGATCTAACCATCCCATATCCCCATGTACAGTCTGAGCTGGGGATCTAACCATCCCATATCCCCATGTACAGTCTGAGCTGGGGATCTAACCATCCCATATCCCCATGTACAGTCTGAACTGGGGATCTAACCATCCCATATCCCCATGTACAGTCTGAGCTGGGGATCTAACCATCCCCCATATCCCCATGTACAGTCTGAGGCTGGGGATCTAACCATCCATATCCCCATGTACAGTCTGAGCTGGGGATCTAACCATCCCATATCCCCATGTACAGTCTGAGCTGGGGATCTAACCATCCCATATCCCCATGTACAGTCTGAGCTGGGGATCTAACCATCCCATATCCCCATGTACAGTCTGAGCTGGGGATCTAACCATCCCATATCCCCATGTACAGTCTGAGCTGGGGATCTAACCATCCCATATCCCCATGTACAGTCTGAGCTGGGGATCTAACCATCCCATATCCCCATGTACAGTCTGAGCTGGGGATCTAACCATCCCATATCCCCATGTACAGTCTGAGCTGGGGATCTAACCATCCCATATCCCCATGTACAGTCTGAGCTGGGGATCTAACCATCCCATATCCCCATGTACAGTCTGAGGCTGGGGATCTAACCATCCCATATCCCCATGTACAGTCTGAGCT